CTACTACTACTACTCGTGTGTGTGTGTGTGTGTGTGTGTGTGTGTGTGTGTGTGTGTGTGTGTGTGTGTGTGTGTGTGTGTGTGTGTGTGTGTGTGTGTACGACGCTGCTCGCTGAGCCCCACTGGTTGTTGGCGCGCTTCAGTACTCTGGTGTTTGAAACAGAGCTGTGTCAACGTGACACGTTCATTTCGCGTGGAAAAGCCAAAGCATGGTGTCGTTTCGTGATGTGACATGATGTGAACAGCAACACGGGCATGAGCTACTTTTGTACAAAAGAAGGACAAAAAACAAAGCGAAAGCGTGCATTCTACAAGCAAGGGGACATTCGATACACATTCAATGTGCGCCAAGCACGAGATTGTAACATCATGGACATTGGCATCAACAGTGATGGTGTGCTGTACTGTCACTGCCATCGCCGCACATCAAACAAAACAGGAGAAGAGGTTCAAGCATGCAATGAGTGTTGTTGCTGTTGTTGTTGTTGTTGTTGTTGTTGTTGTTGCTGTTGTTGCTGCTGCTGCTGCTGTTGTTGTTGCTGCTGCTGTTGTTGTTGCTGCTGCTGTTGCTGCTGTTGTTGTTGTTGCTGCTGCTGCTGCTGTTGTTGTTGTTGCTGCTGCTGCTTCTTTCTGAGCTGCAACAGGGCGCCGCCATAGCTGAGGAATATGCGCCGAGCCTGGCGTATTCATATGTGTGGGGGGGGGGGCGGGGTGAGTGCAGTGGCAATTTGTGCAATGGCAAAATTCACTGCCAAAGAAAAGAAGCACAGCAGTCAAGACATTCACAGCCGCACAACCAAACCACACACACACACACACACACACACACACACACACACACACACACACACACACACACACACACACACCACACACACACACACACACACACGCACACACACACACACGCACAACACTACGCACCACTGCTAACTTGATACGACTTGTGCGTGTTGGTTTTGGCGGGGGCATCAAATCCATTTCGGAGATCACCGCACCGTCACCACCACCACCACCCGTCGCCATCGTCGCCCTCCCAATAGCTGCTGCTGCCCGCCGCTGTGCCGCTGCTGCTGTTGTTGTGTTGGTGGCGCGCGCTGCCAGAATCTGCTGCTGCACAAACGCGGCATGCTCCTGCAACAGGCGGTTGCGATGATGTAGAGCCTCGTTCGCCCGCCGCAAACTCGACACCTGCTTCTCCAGGGCTGCCACAGTTTCCGCTGCTGCTGCTGCGTTAGTCGTGCTGTTGCTGCTGCTGCTGCTGCTGCTGCTGCTGCTGCCGTGTTCGTGGCCGTTGCCCTGCTTCATGTGTTGGTGCTCTTGCATCATGTCGCGGTGCTTCTGCTCCAGCTGTTGCGTCATGGCGCTCTGCTGCTTCAGCTCAACCAACAGCTTCTCGTTCTCTGCCAGCAGCTCCTCCATCTCCTCCTCCCGCTCCTGCAACTGCTGCTGCACCCTGGTCACCTCCTGCGCCAGCTGCGTCCGTGACGCCACAACTTCATTCAATGTCTCGTCCTTCTCTCGCATTGATCGCTGATACTCTTTGCCATCCCGCTTGCCCGCCTCTGCCGCGACTGCCAGTGCCTCTTTGCTGCGTTTCAGCTCCTGTGTGCGTGCGTGTGTATGTGTGTGTGTGAACGCATATGAAGGTACATCGTCGAGGATGCATGCATCATTGTGCATATGCAAGGGCTCAACGAATGACAGCCATCACCACACTATTCGATGTCCCCCTGCTCACCTCCGAAAGCGTGTTGATGGTGGCGTGTTGTTCCGAGAGAAGCTTCGATTTCGCTTCGTCGCTTTCGCGCAATGAATCTGCCAGCGCCTTCAGCTGCTCAACGTACGCCTCCTGCTGGTTGCGGTGGTGGTGTTGGTTGCGGTGGTGGTGTGATGGGAGTGAGGGAAGCGACAGCACACGAATACGGGGAGGAGGAACGACCTGACAACCAAACACACACACACACACATATCACACACGCACCAAACACACGCCCCAAACACACGCCGCAAACACACACACACACACACACACACCAAATACACACGCATACACGCCCCAAACACACACACGCATGCACACCTTCTTTGCGTCGTGGCCCGGGGACGAGTCGTGCGTTGTTGGTGCGGACATAACGGCATCGAGCCGCTGCTGAAGATCCCGCGCCTTCAACTTCAACTCGGCAATTTCGTCATTGGCGTCCACGAGGCTGCGCTCAAGCGTTTGCTTCTCCTGTTGCCGTGAACGTGGTGTGCGAGAGGATTGTGGTGAGATGGTGAACGTGCAGTACATAGCTTCGGCCACAGCAGGTACATGTGCACACACGCACGCGCACACACAGGAGCGCGAAGCACACAATCACAGCAGCACATTGCGGCCACCACAGCATTGCACGTAATTCTCCACACAGCACGCACAATTGCTCACACAGCACAACCGCACCTCTGCGTGTTCGCGCGCGTGCTGCTGTATCTGTTCCTCCTTTGCCTCCAGCTGTGTCCTCAGCGCATTTACAGCCGCCCTGTCCTCCTGCTGCTGCTCCATTGCTCTCTTCAGCTCATCGCCCAGCTGTGCGTTCACCTCCTTTGCGCGGTTGCGCTCGCGCTCCAGCGTTGCGGACTTTTCTTCCAGCAGCGTCAAATGCTCCTCATATCGCGTCTCCAGCGCCGTCACCTGCTCTGTGAGCGCGCGCGTGTGCTTCTCAACATACGCCTCCTGCTGCCGCTGCGACTGCTGCAGCGCGTGTGTGCTGTGTGCCTGCTCCTGTTCCAGCTTCGTCTGCAGCGCCGTGATGGTTGCCTGCAGCTGCGCATGCTCCCGTCGAGCCGTCTCAAGCTCAGCCACCGCCTGCGCGTGCACCTGCGCGTCGACCGTGGCCGTGTGCTCGCGTGATGCAGCCTGCAGTGCCTGTCGAGCGGCTGCCGCATCACCGCGTGCGTCATCAACCTGCCGTCTGAGCTGCTTCACCTGCTCCTCGTGTGCACTCAATCGCAACCGCAGGCTGCTGTTCTCCTGCCGCGTCTCTTCCAGCGTTGCCGACACGCGCGCGTGCTCTGCCCGTGCCATCTCCAGTGCAGCTGCGTCCGCCTTTGCCGCTGCCAGCTGTGATCGCAGGTCGTCGCACACCGCCTGCGAGTGCTGTGCATCTGCGCGTATGCTCTGGTTGTCCCTGTGCACGGCCTGGAGTTTGTCGTGCAGCATCGACGTCTCCTGCTGCAGCGAGCGCACCTGCTGCTCCAGCGCCGTCCTCTCCTCTCGCTCGCTCGCACCCATCGCCTTCATCTCGGCCACCGCCGCCTCTGCTTGCTCGAGCTTCGACTTGAGCTCGTCCTCCCTCAGCCGCAGCTGCGTGTTCTCTTCGCCAATCTTTCGCTCCAGCACCATGTGCTGCTCCAGCATCGCCTGCGACTCGTGCAGCGCATTCTGCAACGCACGGAGGGCGGTGGAGGAGGGGCGGACGGGTGGGTGTACGAATGTGGGCGGATAACCGTGCGTGGATGTGAGTGTACACAGAAACAGTCAGTGATGTGTGGGCATGTGGAAGAAATGAAGAGAGCCTCATTGTACCACACACACACACACACGCACACACACACACACGCACACACATACAAGACACACCCTGTATTGTTCCAGCCGCAGGTTTGCGTTTGCAAGTTGTTCCAGTGCATTGCCAACACCACCACCACCACCACCAGTGCTCAGGGTCCAGTCGCGCTCGCGCTCTGCAGCGGTGTTGAGTTGGTCGCGGAGATCGTACATGCGCGCAGTCAGACCCTCAATCTGAAGTGGTGAATTGGGTTGGATGGATGGGTGGGTGTGTTTTGGGGGAGGGGGTGATGCATGTGAGTTGGTGCGGTAGTTTCAAGGAGGGCAAGTGGCATCAGAGATACCAAGCAAGCAAGTGCGAATAGAGTCTCACCGCACACACACATACATACACACATACATACATACATACATACATACATACATACATACATACATACATACATACATACACAAACAGGCGAGAATGCTGCTGGCTCACCGCGCTCTCCTTCTCTGCGACGGTCTTGCGCAACTTTTGGTTTTCGGCAAAGAGGCGCCGCATTTCGCGAACATTTGAGGCATCGCTCATCCCATTCACATCACCGCCGACGCCACGACCACCTTCATCCGCGCCACCATTCATCGCCAGCGTCTCACCAGTACGACCACTGCTTCCGCTGTCATCGTGAAGACGTTGTCTCCGCAGTCCACCGCCGCCGACGCGCACACGCGGTGCCGGGTGCGTGTGTGCACGCTCGCTCCACCCTGTGCTGGCACGTGCATCGTGGTGATTGCTGCTGCTGTAAATGGCGGATGCATGTGCGCGATCGCCGTGGCTCGAAGCAACATACGTGTCTGTTGAGTGGGTGCTGAGCGGGGACGTTGGCCTGCCAGGTCCAAGCGTGGCTGCATGCGATGCTGCTGATGCGCCCTGGCTCTCATCGCTCGCATACCCCCCGCGCAGCAGCTGCTGTGATCTGCAGTGCAACAGAGACAGTGTGTGTATGTGGTGAGTGTGTATGTGTATGTGTACGTGAGTAAGTGAGAGGGTGTGTGTGTGTGTGTGGACTTTCGTGCGCGCGTGTGTGTGTGCATGTGTGTGAACATGTGTACGTACGTGCATGTGTGTGCGAGTGCGAGTGCGAGTGCGAGTGTGCACGCACGCCCTTCCATTCTCGTACGCACATGCACATCCACAAATCTGTAACTCAAGAACGCCCAAACCTCTCGCATCCACGCACACGGTACATACAGCGATGCTGAGCTGCGTGCCATTTCGTCTTTGCGCTTTGCAGATTCGCGCATGGAAGCAAGATACTGCAGCAGCTGCTGGCCTGTTCGCACCGCCACGTGGATTTGAGTCAGCCATGGCGAACGCGCGCACATGTGTGTGTGCGTGTGCGTGTGTGCGTGTGTGCGTGTGTGTGCGTGTGTGTGTGTGTGTGTGTGTGTGTGTGTGTGTGTGTGTGTGTGTGTGTGTGTGTGTGTGTGTGTGTGTGTGTGTGTGTGTGTGTGTGCGTGCACATGTGGCTTACACGGAAAACGCAAGCACTGCTTCAACTTCCACTTCACCACCTGGCATCAAGCTCCCGCTCACTTTGCAATCGAAGATCATCGTGTGAATCGGGTGATTGGTCCGAGATGTCACCCGCAACAGCACGTCTCGGTGTCGCTGTTGTCGCAGCAGCTGCTGTCGGCTGGGCGTGGGACGCGTCGCTTTCGCCATCACTCAACTGATGTTGGCTCCTGTTGTTGTAGAGTGTTGCAAGCAGGCACAATGATGACGTGAGGAGTTGAGTTGTAGGACGTGACGTCCGCCACGAGCGGGGCAAAAATTTCACATCGACATCCAAGCACATAAGTACACACACAGAGAATGTATGCGCACAAAGCCAACGTATGGTGGGCGCACATTCAAAACAAAAAACCAACACATCCACACTCTCACATGCAAGCACACACGCACACACACACGCACACATACACACAAATACACACACGCACACATACACACAAATACACACACGCACACATACACACACGCGCGCGCGTGCATGCTTGACACTGGGAGGATAAACGCACCGCACTTGCTTGAGCTGCTCCATCATGTTCTCGGCCTCAACACGTAACGAGTTCATCTAATATGGTAGCACGTCAAAGAGCAAGTGGGAGCAATGTATTCTTGAGTGAGCTTGAAAACAAAACTTCGGGCACACTGCGTGTTGCCCCTTTAAGCACGATCCAAACTCACCGACAGACAGACAAACAGACAGGTTGACTGGCTGGTTTGGCTCATGCACACACTCGCACACTCGCACACTCACACACATTCACACGCACACACTCACACACATTCACACACACGCGCGCACACTCACTCACACACATTCGCACACATTCGCACACACGCACACACTCACACACACACGTATACAAATTCACTCAAACTCACTCAAACACACTTGCTCCCTCACAAACTCACACACAACCACAAACGGCTCATCACTGACCGAGATGTCTTCGCTCCTGTATTGTTCGTGTGATGAGCGGCTCTGTTGTTGGTGTGCACTGTCCACGCTTGAAGTTGACGCGGTGGTGCGCCCGTGCTTGCCGCTCCTCGCAGGTGCACCCGAATGTGTTTGGGAGAGTCGGGATCGCGCGTCGTGTGCAGGACCGGCAGTGCTGGTGCTGGTGTCACGTGGCTGCCGGCGACGGCGACGGCCTTGGCTGACCTTGCGTGCCCGGTCGGGGCTCATGCTCCTTCCAGAGGACCGTGACCGCTGGCGGTCCACTCTGCCGCTCGCTGCTGCTACTGCTGCTGTTGTTGTTGTTGTTGCAGGATTGCTACTGCGCCCTGACGACGCTGATGCTGCTGCTGTGCTGCGCTTCTTGCTGCTTCGTCGCGTGGAGCTGCCCACCCGCGTGGGTGACCGCAAGCTCTGCTGCCACTCCATCGCGGCGCGTTCGCGCGTGTGCCTGTCGTTGACTACACCTCGTGCGCTGTGGGTAGTGGCTGCGTGCGCAGCTGACAGTGCCAGTGCCAGTGCCTGTGTTGATGTGCCAATGTGCAGGACAACACAAGAAGAAGGGAGCTGACAACAAGCACAAAACACCACAACACAAACACGACGTTGGTTGGTTGGTTGCTTCTTGTTGTTTGAAATTTGGGTGGTTGCGGTTATTGAAGAATTGTGGACATCTTGCTCTATTTTTCTCCCCGCAAGCAACGGCGATGACTGACAGAAGAACAAGGCGCACTGTCGGTGGTGGTGGCACTGGCAGCGCAGGTGGCAGCAGCAACCCGTTCAAGCGCAGCAAGCCGCTTGCCGGCCCTGTGCGCCGCGTACCAAGCAGAGGACCCTCCCTATCGCTTGACGATGATAATCTTGAAGCTGATGGTGGCGACGACGGCAACATCGCAGCAACCTTTCTCGGAACACAGAAGCCAAATGCACCAGCGGTGGTGCCACAAACACATGCCCGCAACGTGTTTGCAGTGAGGGCGACACCTTCGGCCTCTTCTGCTGTTTCCACCGCGCAGCACGCGAACCAGCCCTCGGCAGCTCACCAGAGCCAACCATATACACACACGCCCTTAATGGCTACAGATACAAGTGCTGTTAGCGGTGCTGTCAGTGATACTGTTGGTGGTGTTCACAATGATGAAAGCGATGACGATGATGACGACGATTACGGCGATGATGATGATGACTTTGTGGACGAGGACCACAGGCTTCATCATCGCCGCGTGCTTCGGCGCCACCGTCTCAGAAAAAATGGCGCTGATGCCGAAGACTCGCAGTGCGGAAAACTGGACCGTGGTGGTGGTGGTGGTGGACTTAACGAGTTTGACGACGACGACTTCTGGAACACGCAGCACGCACTCAACGACTCCCGATACACCTTCATTGATGAGGGCGACAGTGACATCATGACGCCACCAGGCACTCAGCCGCTCACAGCAAACTCGCAAGAGCACGGGCTGACCCTTGAGCGCAGCCATACCCAGCCAGATCGCGTTGAACATGAACAAAAGGGCTTCACCTCCGTGGATTTGGCAACAGCTCGGCGAGCCAAACGATCATCAACTCAGCAACAACAACAACACAAGCAGCAGCAGCAGCAGCAGCAACAGCAGCAGCAGGGTAATCCATGCCAACGCAAGTCTCCTCCCTCTGCTCACACGAGTGTGCCACAAGCGGTGATTTCAGCAGCACAGAGTGGGCCTCTGCCATCGCATCCGTCCTCCTCTGCCGCCCCATCACCGCCATCGTCATCAACCGCAAGTGGCCCATATACACACATTCGGCACCATCTCAAGCCTCAGCGGCGCAAGAAACAGGGACGAGAGCAGCCAGGGCAGAGACAGGGGGTTGGAAGCCACGGCGTAGCAGACAACCGGGGACCCGTGCCATCAACATCACCAACGTCCACCGCCACAGCTATGCCAACGTCAACAGCGTCAGCAACACCCATGACTGCAACCTCGGCTGTATCCTCCCTGCCTGCGTCGCAGCACCCACCGTCCATCTTTGACGAGGTGCTTGGCGCTGGTCTTAAGCAGCCGCAGGCGCGCGCATCAGCACGGCAGCGGTCAGACGCAGCAAAACCAAAAGAGCCAGCACGCATCGTCAGCAGCAGCACGCCCCCTGTTGACCTCAGCATCAAGACCAAGCTCAGCGTTTCCACGATGCACAGCTTGCGTCACGCGTGCTTTCCATCGCAGTCACAGCGCGTGCACGCCCTACACCGGGCCGTGTCTCCACCAAGGGTGGCTCCAGCGTCCGCTGACGCAACAAGCAGTAAGCCGCGTGGTGGCGATGCTGTGGACATCGACGACCCAGCACTGCTCGTCGCGTCTGCACTTCACTTCTTCTCCTTTCCGGACATCAGAATCAATGAGGTGTGTGTGTGTGTGTGTGTCTGTGCATGTCTGTCTGTGCGTGTGTGTATGCGTGTGTCTGTTTGTGTTCGTTCACATGTATGTATGTTGGCCCAGAAATACAATCATGCAACACACTTGTTCATTCGTTGCTTCTGTGTGTGTGTGTGTGTGTCTGTTGTAATTGCAGGGACTGATTGACCCTGTGTTTCCAAAGGTGAGCAAGAAGTGGGTGTGATGTAGTGAGGAGATATGGTATGTGTTTGTGTACATGTGAATATACGCCTTTGCTTGTGTGCATATGAGGTGCATGTTCATGTCAAGTTTTCTTCACATGCGTGTACATCCCTTTCAGTACGCCCACCTTCACAAGTCATTGTGTGTGCATGTGTGCAGGGGGTGGACCAGCTTAGTGAAACGGGCGAGATGTGGGAGGACGCGGCCACGTCTCTATGGGATTCCGTCACTGCCGGCCTCTGTGATTACTTCTACCTCCTCGCTCCTGACTTTGAATTTCTCCTCTGGTACGGCGTGTGTGTGTGTGTGTGTGTGTGTGTGTGTGTGTGTGTGTGTGTGTGTGTGTGTGTGTGTGTGTGTGTGTGTGTGTGTGTGTGTGTGTGTGTGTGTGTGTGTGTGCGTGTGTGGGTTGATACAACGTTGACGGAGGAGCAACATGCTCGCAGCCTCTTGTCGCTGCAAGTCTGCTCAATTTCTAAACACGTTCATCTTTCATGCGTATCATGCCTGCAGGCAACAACCACTGCGCGCTGTTGTCACGCGTACGTCGAGGGGATTTCGAAGACTATTGGACAACAACGGTGCGTGCAGGGGGCGGAAAGAGCGAGAGGATGTTTGTGCGTTCGGTGTGTCGCTGAGTGTGTTGTATATTTGCGCACGGCGTGCACACGCACGTGTTTGTTGCAGCGTGAATGGGCCGCCTTTCGCTCTGACACGGAAGGAGGCAGTGTGCCGTCTTGTTTTTTGCGCATGCGTTTGCGGTTTTTGTCATGGTTCTCATCTTGACATCACGCCATGCATGCAGGCGTCAAGTTTCGTAGTGCGCACGATGGCAGCGCAGAGATGCAGCAAGCAGAGGAGGTGGAGAGCGAGCTGGAGGCATTACAAGACGTGTTTAAGGTGTGAATGTGTGTGGGGGGAGTGTGGGAGTGTGAGAGTTTGCAGGTGTGCATGAGCTGTGATATGTGTGTGTGTGTGTGAGTGTATGTGTGGTGCGTGTGCATGTTTGCTGGGTGGGATGACAGCATGTATTCATCCACGTGGGCCGAAGATCAACGCCTTGCAGCTTCCGCGCAGTACAATGTCCACTACACCATGACCCCCCCCCCAACACACACACGCACACGCATACACAACGCCATTTCAGATTCGGCGGCGGTCAAGTCGGGCGCTGCCGAGTACGGCGTCGGAGATTATCGTGTCTGGCGTGGACAGCATCTCGAAACTTCGACCCATCATCACGCAGCTGCAGTTTATGAACGAGGCAACGAGGTGTGTATATGTGTGCGTATGTGTGTGTTTGTGTGAGTCCAGAATACTCCCAGGATGTACGTTTGCTCATGACCAACCACGATTCACTGGCCCTACTACTCTGTCACAGGCGAACCAGGGAACCCCCTGTGCTGTTGTCGAACACCCCGTTCCTCAACGCACATATCAAGGTACTTTGCACTGTGTTAGTGTGTGTGTGTGTGTGTGTGTGTGTGTGTGCTCGTTGTGTTCATCAGCGTGGTATTGTCTCAGCTGTACGTGGCCCATGCATTCACATGTGCTGCACTTCTGCTGTTCATTGGCAGCAAGTGAAGTGCCAATACCTTGGGAAGGTGTCTCGTGAAATTGATCGCGTCACCATCGAGGAGGATGTGATGGAGATTGAAGGCCCCATCCTCCCCACCATGATGCACGGGTGTGTAACTCTCTTCGTGTGCTATTGTGTGTGTGTGTGTGTGTGTGTGTGTGTGTGTGTGTGTGTGTGTGTGTGTGTGTGTGTGCGTGTGCGTGCGTGTGGCTTCAGATTTGTACGAAGCCGCATTGCCATGTCTTTCCTGTTCAGACCTGGCCACTGACACGAGCATCTCCCTCCCTCTGCCACATCAACACACGTGGATGTGTGTTGCATCTTGTAGTTTGCTTGCTGCATTGAGCAGCACGCTACAGCAGTTTCACGTGCGGGCAACAGCGCTGCAGTACGCGCACTTGTTCAACACGGGCGTGGAGTGGGACGAGAAGACGGCGCCCTACATGTGCACACGCACGAGTGGAATGACCATCAAGCCCGCATTCGCCACCGCCATCTATGCGAAACGAGCAAAGGCCTATCGCATGCACTTTACAGAGTTGCACGGTTTTACTGCGACGGCAAGAGCAGCAGCAACATCACAGCAAGCAGCGTCACAACACACGACACTCAAGACGCCTGCTTCCTCGACATAGGACACGACATAAGGCTCAACACGATGCACAATCCACAACATTCAACAGCAATAGCCGATTACGACAATGGCGCGCTGCGATGTGATGATCACAGCAAACAACAATACCACGCAACAGCAATCTACGACATCATGAGATACTGCATGAGGGCCTGACGCTTCTTGTGCTGTGCCCGGCTTGCCTGTTGCTGTGTCTGACGGGCGAAAGACAGTGGCGTTGTGGTGTTGAATGCGAAGTTGAATGTGAACTCAAACCCAATCATGTGTATTCAAAGTCAACCATGTGCAGTAAACGAAGCAATCGTTCGTCGTCAAACAGCCCAGCGCTCGCACGCTACGGTTTACCACCACCACAATCACTACCATCACCACCACCATCACCACCACCACCACAACCACATTCACCACCATCACAACAACAACAACAACAACAACAACAACAACACCACCATACCAGTTCGTCGGAGAGGGCCTTGGTGATCTTGGTTGCCTCCTTGGTGATGGTGGCGTGCATGTGCTCTGTCTGCGCGTGCAGCATTGTGCGCAGTTCATCCTTGGCGGCTTCCAACTGCTCACCCTTTAGAGCAGCGTCCTTGGCCTGTCATGGTGTGATGGACAGATGCGATGACAACGTTCTTCTCTTGTTCGCGCTCGACTGTTTCAACCCACATCCCTGTTAAACCTCCCACTTGCACCACACAACCACCACCACCACCACCACAATCATCACGACCACAACCACGCACAACCACACAACCACAACCACACAATCACCACCACCACACCACAACGCACCGCTTGGTTCACCATGACGCGGTTTCCCTTGAGGAGAGTTGCGAGCTTGGCTTGCTGGCGCTTGAGGTTCTTGAGGCGAGTGCCCATTGCCGCTGCTGATGTGCGCTGGCTCTTGCGAAGCGACTTCAGCCGTGCCCCAAACCCGACAAGCGCCCCTTGCCTTCACACACCCATTGCATGCACATGTATGCAACACCCGTATGAGCCTGACATCATGCACACACAGCTCATCGCAAAACGGACATTGAAACGTGCTCAAACTATGCCCCAACAGAATGCATCTCGCATACAATCACAATCGTATCACCACAACCGCAGTCAACCTCACACACACACACACAAACACACGCACGCACGCACACACACACACACACATACACACATACACACACACGTGCGCGCGCGTGCACGAGCAGATCTCGCCCTTAACATACAGCCTGGCTTCGAAGGAATCGATGGCCGTGTTGAGGGATTCCCAGGGCGACTCGCCCAGCACGTCAGCTGGTGCCACATCAACAACGGGGATGGCATGACTGGCAAGCCAACAAGAAAGCAAACGCGCCGCAGAAACACACACGGCAGACACAAAGTGAGTGGTGTTATCACAAGGACAGAATCACGTTGACACTGCCGCAAGATTAAGACCTCAGGTGCCACATGTCTGCATTGTTGTGACCTTGGCTCAAATGGAACGGCTTGTGGCTGGTGGTGTTGGTGTGGCTGAATCACTGCTGCAGACTTTGTGTGTGCAGACACGGTTGCGTTGGTTTTGCTTGTGGCTGTGTTTGTCGTGGTGGTGGCGGGTTTGGGCGGCCTGACGGGCTTGGTCGACGGGCGAGGA